AAAAAAAAAAAAAAAAAAAAAAAAAGGCAACAGCTGGGCAGTGGTGGTACACGTCTTTAATCCCAGCACTTGGGAGGCAGAGGAAAGCAGATTTCTGAGTTTGAGGCCAGCCTGGTCTACAGAGTGAGTTCCAGGACAGCCAGGCTACACAGAGAATCCCTGTCCCGAAAAACCAAAACCAAAACCAAAACACAAAACAAAACAAAACAAAAATACCCCACAAGAGAAGTGCTAGCAAGATTGTAGAGAAAATGGAACCCTTGCACATTGCTTTTGGTAGTCGAAGTCAGTACTGCCAATACAGAAAACAGTGTGGTGGCACAGTGAGATGGCTTAGCAGGTAAAGTGCTTGGACCAGAGTTCAATCCCTGGAGCCTGTGGAAAGGTAGAGAAAGAGAACCAACTCTATAAATTGTCTTATGATCTATTCTCTCTCTCTCTCTCTCTCTCTCTCTCTCTCTCTCTCTCTTAAAAAAAAAAAAACTGGAGGGAGTTTCTAAAAACAAACAAAATCAAACTAAAACAAGAATACCCATAGAATTACCATATGATCCTACTATCCCACTGTTGGGAATATCCAAAGGAATCGAGATCAGTATGTTGATGAGCCATCTGTAGTGTTTCTCAAAGCACTGTTCATCATCGTTCATGATAGCCAATAAATGAAAACAATCTAAATGTCCTTCATCTGATAAATGGATAAAACAATGTGGCTCATGCAATGAAATAGTAATCAGCCATAGAAAGGATGAAAATATAACGGGGACTGGAGAGATGGCTCAGTGGTTAAGAGCACCGACTGCACTTCCAGAGGTCCTGAGTTCAAATCCCAGCAACCACATGGTGGCTCACAACCATCTGTAATGAGATCTGATGCCCTCTTCTGGTGTGTCTGAAGACAGCTACAGTGTATTCATATATAATAAATAAATAAATCTTAAAAAAAAGAAAAAATATAGTATTTTCAGCAACAAGGATGAAATTAGACATCATGTTAAGTGAAATAAGCCAGGCATAGACAGATGCTTCAGGGACTGGAGGGCTCATGTGTAACCCAGAAAAGTTGATACCAGAAAAGTTGAACAGAGGTTACCAGAGGTGGTTGAAAATGACTGGAGGAAGGCACAGGGGAAAGTCAGTCAATGGGTACTGAGTCACAGTTATATGGCTTTAAAATTCTTTATTCTTCATCAGTGTTGGTTGATGATTATGCATTTAATGAGTTTATTCTTTATGTATTTATCTCTTATAATGGAAATGCTATGTATCAAGGCATATAATATATCTGCACTTAACGCTGTGATTAATATAAACAGAAGAGCATGTCATCACATTTTAGACTTTGGATCTTGAATTTAAAATTTATATGATATAAGGAGAATTGTTTCATTATTTTATAAAATAACCTGCTGTTTCCTTTTAGAAATGTTACGAACAGAAGCAGTACAAAAATGGCCTCAAGTTTTGCAAGATGATTCTTTCGAACCCAAAATTTGCTGAACATGGAGGTAATGTCTCATCTGTTGCAATGTTGCTTTGGGAGAATATAATTCTAAGACCAGGCAGGATTTTTTTTTCTTTTCTTTTCTTTTCTTTTTTTTTTTTTTGAGACAGAGTTTCTCTGTGTAGCCCTGGCTGTCCTGGAACTCACTCTGTAGACCAGGCTGGCCTCAAACTCAGAAATCCACCTGCCCCTGCCTCCCAAGTGCTGAGACTAAAGGCATGCGCCACCACTGCCCTGCTACCAGGCAGGATTTTTGACAGTGAAGGAGTACTCAGATTTTAGCAATCTTATGCTGAGCTAGTTTCATGCTTTAGTATATGCAATGCCTTTACTTTTAGTTGAGGAGGTAGATGAGAGACTGTTGATGAGGTAATGTGCATGTTAACGTCCCCCTATCAGAAGTGCTTCAGGCAGCAGATGAGTTCAGATTTTGGATTAATTGTTTAGATTAGCATTTATACACACCAATTGGAAAAAGCTTGAAAGTCTAGTTTCCAATCTTGGATCATTTAGTGTTTTCGACTTTTGGACTAGGGGTGCTCAGTTCATAGATGTCTTTCATCTGTCATTCTGACTAGACACTGATTTCTTTCTTACTTCAGTGTCTTGTATATAGAAGTAGGCTGTGGTTTGTAGTTTAGAACAGTGTGAAGATAAAGACATACATTTTATTCTTTGATGTTGTTTTATGTATTTTATGTTTATTTATCACATGTGAGTGTGTGTGCCAGTTGCAGTCATTTCAGAGTATGTGTGTGGAGATCCAAGAACAATTTCAGAGAATTGGTTTTCTCCTACTATGGGTAGAACTCAGGTTGTCAGGCTTGGTGTCAAGTGTTTACTCACTGAGCCGTGAGCATAGCTGGCTCCCATTTGCCTCATCTGTATATAAATATGTTACCATCGCTTCATAATTAGGTTGTTAAGGTTTTTTAAAATTGTTCCTAATAAAGTCTACTTTTTTTTTTTTATCATTTTTACTAGTTGGAATTGTTTGTTGAAAAGATGAGATTGGTCTTGGAAAATTATGGTCCATAACATTGCATAGCTAATTAAGTTCTCTTAGAGCACTACTAGACTTTGACAACTTAAGACCATTTAATTAGGAAAATAGGCTGATACGGTTCTCTTTTCTAAAACTGTTTCTTGTGAAGTTTTAGAAAATGAAACTTTACATGGGTTCTGGATATGTGAATTCAGGTCTTTGCACTTGCTCAGCCCACTAAGTATTGCCCCACCCCACTGAGAACAGTTCTAACCAATCATAATCTAAAGTTTTTATTTTTAATTTTTTTTTTTAAGACAGGATTTCTTTGTAAAATGGAACACTGTTCTGAAAACTGTACAGTCTACAGAGATCAGTTTGAAAATCACTGCTACTATCTTAAGTCCTTTGTGGATTTTTCAGAGAAATACTTTATTATAATTCATCTTTTCATTAACTCCTAACATTTTCTTGGGTTGCTCATCTGTAGTACAATGTTATGCTCTCCAAATGAAAACTAATGTTAGTTAGCTTAAGTAGAATTATTAAAATAAGTTTGTTGACAAAAGAGAATCTGTTCAATATTGAATATGGTGGTATTGATTACAACATACAGTTTGAATTAAGTAGAGTTACTTTTTGTGAGGTATATATTAGATTATGAGCCAGGCATTGATGGTATGTATATTCCTTTAATCAAGGCCAGCCTGGTCTACAGAGTGAGTTCCAAGATAGCCAGAGCTACTCAAAGAAACCCTGTCTTAAATAAATAAACAAAAACTTAGATTATGATTGATTAGAATTGGTCTCAGTGGAGTAGGGCAATACTTGGTAGGCAGTGTACTTCTGTGTTTTGTTGTTGTTGTTGTTGTTTTGGTTTTTTGAGACATGGTTTCTCTGTGTAGCCCTGGCTGTCCTGGAACTCACTCTGTAGACCAGGCTGGCCTCAGAAATCCACCTGCCTCTGCATCCCAAGTGCTGGGATTAAAGGCATGTGCCACCACTGCCCGGCCGGCAATGTGACCTGCATTCACATATTCAGAACCCATGTAAAAGCCAGGTATGGGGATCTGTAATTCCAGTGCCTCTACAGTAAGCTGGGAGGTGGAGATGGGAGGATCTCTGGAAGCTCATGGACCAGCTAGCCTGGCAAAAAGCAAAGAGACCTTGCCTTATAAAGAAAGTGTACACTGAGGAATAGCATCTGAGGCTGTCCTCTGATTTTCACGTGTGCCTGATGTATTTACCTGCACTCACACACACAAACGTATACGGACACACAGAAACGAACTGGCCTTGAGAAGTATAGAACTGTTGTAGGCAGGACTAGGATGCCTGCTTTGTTAAATTTTTCTGAGGATAATATAAATCCCTCTATATAGAGTCTCCTAAAGGGTAGAACTCTATTGTAGTCTCAGGCATTTTAGAATAGGACTTAGGTTAAAGAAAATCTGTTCAATATTGAGTATGGTGATATTGATTACAATGTATATACTTAGGTAGTCTTTTTTGTGAGGTATAAATTAGATTATGATTGGTTAAAATTGGTTTCAGTGGGGTGGGGAGATGCTTCAAGCCAATACATGACTTCATCTTTTGTACCTTTGTGATGAAGATAAAAGCCCTGGGGTAATAGTAGTTAGTACTTTAGATCTCAGGTACTAACTAAGTGCTAGGAGACTAACTCAAATCTTTGGTTTGTAAACAGATTAAAATTATTTTTCAGAGACTTTGGCTATGAAAGGACTAACGTTGAACTGTTTAGGAAAAAGAGAAGAAGCATATGAATTTGTTCGTAAAGGACTTCGCAGTGACATCAGGAGTCATGTCTGTATCCTTTTGCCATAGTTTTGTGGCTTTGTTTTCATTTACTTGTCTTTTCTAATTCAGATTTTACAACCTTTCTGTGAAACATTGAAATCTTAGGAATTTTAATGAAGTCTATGTATCTACCCATTACTTATCATCAGTAATTAGCAATATTTTGTTCCTTAATCCTTTTTGGAGTATTTTAAAGAAAATCTTCATAGAGAAACAGAGACCAGTTTTTTACTTAAACATCCATGAGTTGATTGATAGTTCCCTATTTCAGAAAATGAATTTTAGTTTTTTAATCTATATAAACATTTGTGTTTCTTGAATTTTCTTTTAGAAGTTTTAGAGGAAATTTTAAATTTGGAAGAAGCCTATTTTAAAACAAGTTTAGCTAGATATGTAGCTCAGTAGTAAAGTGCTTGCCCAGTGTGTGCAAGGCCCCTGGCACTGCAAAACTAGCAAATGAAAACCAGATGTTATTTTGTGTCAGGAAAAACTGGTTCTTTAGCTTGAATGCTATTAACAGAGACATACCTGTTACTTTACTGAATCTTTATAGTATTTTTCATTTGCTAGTATTTAACATGTAAACCAATTAAAAAAACTTTAAAGAAGGATTGTTGAAATTTTTAAATTTTCCATGTCTGTGTTTGGTCTTTTAACATAGTACCCTTGTATATGTGATAGTCAGTTCATTTAGCAGATGGCTAGTATTTGTCATGCATAGTCTCCACATTTTTCACATATTTAACTTAGTAGTCTTTCAAAATACTAAATGATTATCTTCTTATCCCAGAGTTTACCCTACAGTGTAGAGAAAGACTATGTAAGTATGGTAGTTTTGGGGGTTTGGCATAAGATAAACTAAGAGAATAAAACTTAATTTTGTGTCTTTGATATCACTAGTGAATTAAATTGTGGATATATTACTTAGAATTGTATAATATCTACACTTATTTTAGAAAATAAATATATAAGTGATTTTGAGATTGTTTGAAAACAAGGGAATTGAATGTAAGAAAATGGTGCAAATTTTTGCGAAGATTCTTCTAAAAGTTACCTACAAATATTATGGAAAATTTCAAGCATGTACAAAATGGGAGAAATGGAATGTTGAATCATTGTATCCCAATCCCCAAGCTTGAATAGTCAAGACTTGGCTGTTTGTATATTTGCCTCTTTCTAATTGTCCTTTCCTTCTGATCCCAGATCACTGTGAAACAAATTCCAGATGAAATACTTTTGAGGTTATTGCATAGTATATCATAGTATGTGTGGATGTCTGTATTTCCTTAACTTGATAGGTTGGCATGTATATGGCCTCCTGCAACGTTCTGATAAGAAGTATGATGAAGCTATTAAGTGCTACCGAAATGCCCTCAAATTAGATAAAGATAATTTGCAAATCTTGAGAGATCTGTCTCTATTGCAGATTCAGATGAGAGATCTTGAAGGTTATCGAGTAAGTAGTCTTAAATGTACTTTTTTTTAATTTAAAGATTTATTTATATGAGTACACTGTAGCTATCTTCAGACACACCAGAAAAGGGCATCAGATGGTTGTGAGCCACCATGTGGTTGCTGGGAATTGAACTCAGAACCTCTGGAAGAGCAGTCAGTGCTCTTAACTACCGAGCCATCTCTCTAGCCCCCTTTAATGTACTTTTTAAATATAGGGGTTTGTTTATTGAGTAATGGGATTGAAGGTGTGTGTCACAACACTTGGCATAAACATTAAGTTTTTAATAGCACATGAATTCAGAATGAAGTAAGCCTAAGGCAAGATGTTATACCCACTTGGACTGTCCTATGATAATAGTTACAGGCTTTCTTTCGTTCGTTCGTTTGTTTTTTTTTGAGACAGGATTTCTCTGTGTAGCCCTGGCTGTCCTGGAACTCACTCTGTAGACCAGGCTGGCCTTGAACTCAGAAATCCGCCTGCCTCTGCCTCCCAAGTGCTGGGACTAAAGGTGTGTGCCACCACTGCCCGGCAAGTTAAAGAGTTTCATACTTAAGCATTAAATTGAGATGGCTCAATGGGTAAAGATACTTGCCACCTACTTGAGGACCTGAGTAGCATCCCTAGGACTTAAATGGATGTGGAAGGAAAGAACAGACTTCTGAAAGTTGTCTTCTGCCTTCCACATACGTACTATGGCGCATATACATTCACTTATGCATGTACATGCACACACACAATTTAAAAAAATGATTATCTTTGATCTAAAAATATTATACTAATACATTGTTTTAGCCTTTTTGCTAAACTGAAAATATATTTAATATTCAGCTTTTACTGAAATCTGAAGATTACTTAGCTTTTTTATTTTAGTAAGCATAAAATAATATGGAAAGGATTGCCATGAAAACAGTTGTTTTTAAAGATCCATTTTTCTCTTTAGTTATTTGTATGTGTTGTGTCTGTCTGTCCATAGGTGTTCAGGTCCCTGTGGAGGCTACAGGAGGGCATTGGATGCCATAGAACTAACATTGTAGGCAGTTGTGAGTTCCCCAGTGTGGGTCCTGGGAGCTGAACTTGGGCACACATTAGTATTGTATTTGCCAGAGAGAAAAACTGACCCATACTTTAATGAAGGAGTGTCAGAGAAGCAAGAGTGAAAGATGAAATGATGTCACTTGATGTTCTGTGAGAAGGGACCACCCATGGCTAAGAGGACTTACCTGAAAGGATGGCCTCCTTTGGCACCCCTTGCAACCATGGAACATCAGCAAAGTTAAATAGACATTTTCTAGACTCAGTGTGCTGAAAGCACTGAAAAAGAAATGGGTTACTCTTGGGAGGTAGGGTCTTTGTGGAGAAGTTGGATTTGCTGCTACACAAAATAACCTTGGCTTTTCTAGGATATCCATGGAAGAATTTCTGATATTTTGTTCATAATACAGAAATTCAACTGCTTCCTATTGGCAGTGGGCTTTTCCACTGGAAGAGCCCCGTAGTGTTTCTCCTGTGTCCATTTGTATTTGAAACCACTACAACAATGTAAATAAGCTAATTTCTTACAATTTTTTTTTTAAATCTAGTATAATCAAAAGCTATCCTAATTTTGTAACAGCCTCATATCATAGCAAGGACTTTAAAGCACAGAGACTTAATTTAGATTAGAAATGTTAAGCACATCTTTATCATTTTTTAGAACTGATACTTGTTAATTGGATTAATTACAGTGTTATTAAAGATTACTAAAATTCAGATGAAATGTAAACATGTTAGATAAATAAAGAACTTAAAAAGAGAAAAAAAATTTCTTTCCTAGGAGACAAGATACCAGCTTCTTCAGTTGCGCCCTGCACAGCGTGCCTCTTGGATTGGATATGCCATCGCTTACCATTTGCTGAAAGATTATGACACAGCGCTAAAACTATTAGAAGAATTTAGACAAACGCAGCAAGTAAGAAGTTGAATATCATTTTTTCCTACTATTGCAGACTAAAATAGTTGAGTTTTACCTTTACATTTTTCTTAGAAAACTATGAAAAAATTGGAAAGCATTTCAAAATAATTAGGAAAAGTTTAAAATGTAGAATTCCCAGTATAAAATAAACTAATTCTTAAGTTTTATGGACAGTAATCTGATCATTATTCTGATTGATAAAGAAATAACATATGACTGGTAATAGAGCTTAGGAAGAGTGCTTGTCTTGTAGGTTGTGTTATAGGTGCACAGCCCTGGTCAATCCTCAGAACTAAAAATAGTAAAATGAAAAGAATTTGGAAGTTGGGAAATTATTTCTATGATATATATTACTTTATTTAGTTGGGGATATGGAAATGGTATGTGTGTTTTTGTTTTATGTTTTTTTTTGTTTTTTTTTTTTTTTGTTTTTTTGTTTTTTCGAGACAGGGTTTCTCTGTGTAGCCCTGGCTGTCCTGGAACTCACTCTCTAGACCAGGCTGGCCTCGAACTCAAATCTGCCTGCCTCTGCCTCCCAAGTGCTGGGATTAAAGGCATGCGGCACCATCGCCTGGCTCAGTCATTTTTTTTTTTTTTAAAGATTTATTTTATGTAGCTGTCTTCACACACACCAAAAGAGGGTATCAGATCCCATTACAGATGGTTAAGAGCCACCATGTGGTTGCTGGAAATTGAACTCAGGGCCTCTAGAAGAGCAGTCAGTGCTCTTAACCACTGAACCATCCCTCCAGCCCCTTCAGTCAGTGTTGTTTTTTGTTTGTTTGTTTGTTTGTTTGTTTTGCTTTTGTTTTGTTTCTCGAGACAGGGTTTCTCTGTGTAGCCCTGGCTGTCCTGGAACTCACTCTGTAGACCAGGCTCAGAAATCCACCTGCCTCTGCCTCCTAAGTGCTGAGATTAAAGCCGTGCGTCACCACTGCCCGGCACTTCAGTCAGTTTTTATAAAAGCTCTTATTCATTTTATCTTAGTTTTTTCCTCATTTAATTTTGTTATTCTCTTTTAATCTTTCTTTGCTTTTTTCCTTCCTTCCTTCCTTCCTTCCTTCCTTCCTTCCTTCCTTCCTTCCTTCCTTCCTTTCTTCCTTTCTTTTTTGTCATCGTCATCTTCTCCATTGTTTTTTTTTTTAATCTCTGGTAGACTGTGCCTACAACACTCAACAAGAGGTTTTATAACACTGCCTCAGCTCTTCCTGTCCTCTTCTGCAGTATAAAGACCATCCTCTGGTTCTCCTTAGACCTTAACATGTCATTTAGAAAGGTGTCCAAGGAAGCTTTCTCCTCCCTCCCTCCTGTCTCTGAAGCTGGCCTTAAATTCTGAATTCTCTTGCATCTGCTTCTTTGCACATTGGATTACAGTTGTGTGTGCTGACATTACTCTGCTATGCCCTGTTTGATAGTATTTTCTTGAAGAAACTTTAAAATTTTGCTAAATTCTGTTATTGGTTCTGTTTTTTCTTTAAAAATTTTTGGCAGATTCCTTAAGATGTCTGTCACTCACTTTTATATCTAGATTTAAGATCTGTTCCTCTTCACGTGGCCTTATAAACTTAAAGATGGAATTAATCATTTGTTAACCTATTTTTAAAAACTGCTTCTGGATTAAATCTGCAAATGAATCCTGAGTAAAAATAAATTAAAGATCTGTAACTAATTTATATAGTTGCACAAATAAGATGATTTGGTTGTTTTCTTCTAGGTTCCTCCCAACAAAATAGCTTATGAATATAGCGAACTGTTACTATATCAGAATCAAGTTATGAGAGAGGCAAATTTATTTCAGGAATCTTTGGAACATATAGAAACATATGAGAAGCTGATATGTGATAAACTTTTGGTGGAAGAAATTAAGGGTAAGTTGATTTGGTTTTGTTTTGTTGTTACTGTTTTTATTTTTTTAATGGCCTTTTCATTTTTGTCCTAATACTTTAAGTAACCCTGTGTGTGTGGTGGCTGTGTAAGCACTTGGTTACTAAACCATTATTACTTTAATCCTCATGACATTCTTTTGATGATGTAGTGGGAACTGAAGAGCTGCTGTCCTCTTGCTAATGTGTAGCATTTTCTGACTTGGGTTTCTATTTATTTTATGTATATGACTGTTTTGCCTTGCATGTATGTATGTGTGTACCATGTGTATGACTGGTGCCTTCAGAAACTAAAAGAAAGTGTTTGGTCCTCTGGAATTGGAGGTTTTGATGGTTGTAAGCTGGCATGTGGGTGCTAGAGATTGAAGCCAGGTCCTCTTGAAGAGCAGTCTGCTCCCAACCACTGAGCCATCTCTCCAGCCTCTAGTTGTTTTTGTTTGCTTAAGATTTGTTTTTCACTCTTTTTAGCTGTAGATGTGTGTGTGTGTGTATGTGGATACAATGGGTGAGTGCAGCTGTCCCAGATGCAGTCCCTGAAGCTGCAGTGACAGGTGGTTGTAAGCTACTCAGTTTGAGTGATGGTACTAAACTCAAATGCTGTTAAGCACCTTGCCAGCTTTCTAATACCTAGCTATGTAATTTATTATAGTTAATATTAGTATCAGTATTAGTGACAACACTTTTTCAAATTATCAATAAAATGTGTTTATTCTTTTTTTTCTGATTCTGCCAGTAATTGATGGAAACAAAGTAAAAGGCAATTATTTTTCCTTCTTGGTGTGTTATTGCAATTTTGTGATTAAATCTTAATATTTTCAGGCAGCTGTTTCTCTCTGGCTTTGTCTTATCATATTAATAAAGAGTACAGTTATTACAAAATCAGTATGATATAGTGACATTGGTTTCATTTAAAAAAAATCTTGTAAATAGCTTCATTACCACATTCGTTCATATGTTGGTAGCAAAGACTTGTGGAGATGTAATCTTGAATAAAATAGCCAGTTCTCAATATGGCTTATAGAGGTGGTGGGCTGTGTTATTTTTTTTCAGTGAACTTTGTAGACCCATCTAATATTCCAATATTTATGTCATTGTAAACATTAGTTTACTAAGATCATTTCAAAAATTGTAAATGTTAGTAGATTTTCACTTAATTGATATGTATATGCACTTCTTTGTTCTGTGTATCCTTACACTTTTAGCTTCATGGTGATAGCAGATAACAGATGTTTATGGGAGTGAAAATATGCTGCTCCAAGTTGTATATGGGATAAGCAGGACAGTGATTAGATTGGGCAAAATATAGTTGTGCAGGAGTTAGGGCATGTTTACTGTTTCTGTTACCCAACAGTTATGTCTGCCCGTTTTGTATCAGACCTAACTACTTGTTCAAGTTCACAAAGTTGGTATGTGTAATGTAATTATACCTAGTTTAATTTGGACATTGATCATATAAAATGGAAAAATAATATGAATAAATTACATGCCATCAACCTCAGTATGATGAATGTTAAATAATATCACATAGATATTCCAAAGTCGTTTTTTTTTTTTTTTTTTTTTTTTTTTAAATTGGTTCCTTGGGTAATGGGAACTATCGGGAATAGGAGTGTGTGGTATCTTCATTTAAGAAAAGCCTCTTTTATGTTAGTTAAGTGTTCTTCCCATTGTGTCTGAGGGCATCTAGAGCCTCATTTTCCAGACCCACTTGCAGTTTTTGTAAATTAGTAAAATGGTTTGAACCTAAAAGACAATGCACTTGTCAACATGGCTTATGTGATTTCTTGCTGTGAACTAATGTTTAGTTAGATAATTGTGCTAAGTTAACTTAAACAATTTTAATGATCTAGAAAAGAAACCAAGAGAATAGACAGTTACTTAATATAGGAACTGATCAAGGAAGACACATTTAAATTTTACAGTAATAAGGTTGGCATATTTCATTTGAATGAATTGCCAGTTGGATTTTACTGCTTTCCTTTGGTTATCTCCAGGAGGCCATTAAAAAATAATGTATAATAAAAAGATACTTTTTTTTTTTTACTAAGAAGTTAGTATCTGTATGCATATTTAGGGAATGGGAAAGAGTCAAAAATGAAAGTGGTTCATTTCTGAAGACAAATTATATATTAATTAATATATAACATGCCCTAAGGGGAGCACACAGAATTTCCTAAAATACCTGTTTACTAATAATGCTTAGAGAATTCTCTTGGGTCAGAAAAGTAATGTTTAAGTAAATTGTATCTTTAAACTTAATTTTAGGGGAAATGCTGTTGAAATTGGGAAGACTAAAAGAAGCGAGTGAAGTATTCAAAAACTTGATTGATTGGAATGCAGAAAATTGGTGTTATTATGAAGGCTTGGAAAAGGCATTGCAGCTCCGTACGTAATGATTTTTCTCTTCTTCCTTAACTAGCCTTTGAAGTGTGATAAAAGGAAAGCTATACTAATCTTTAAGAATAGGTAATTTTAGCATTAACAGTTATTTTTCTATGTAAGTAAAGTTTATAGATTCTATGTGGCCATGAAAATTAACTAAAATGTTTATACTTAAGTAATAATGCTAATAGATGCTTTTAGATTCCTTTACTCGTTTAAAATATATATATTTTTAATTCATACTAGAGTCTATATTACTCAGGGTCTCTAGAGGAACCAAACTGTTAGAATGAATATGTATTAATGTAAAAATGGATTTATTAGAGTGGCTTGCAGGCTGTGGTCCAGCTATTGAACAATGGTTGTCTCCTGATAGAAAGTCCAGGAATCCAATAATTGTTTATTCCATGAGGCTGGATGTCTCAGCTGATCTTCTTTAGTGTACATTAGAATCCTGAAGAAATAGACTCTGAACTTGCCAATGAGAGTAAGGGTCATTTAAAATTTTAACAAACAAGAGTCCAGCATGGTGATACATATCTGTAATCCTAGGAAGCTAAAGTAGGAGGTTTACTAGTTCAAGGGCAGCCTGAACTATGTATTAAGACTCTGTTTCAGAAACAAATACAGGCCTGGAAAGAGGCCTCAGTGTATAAAGTGTTTGCTGAGGAAGTGTGAGGGCCTGAGGTCAGATATCCAGAGCTCATCTAGACTGGTAATGTTTGTTATCTCTGGAAGCTTGTGGGCCAAGTAGTCTGGTGTGTACAGCAGTGTACAATAGACCTGTCTCAAACAAGGTAGAAGGTGAGGACTGACATAAGAGATTATCCTCTTGCCTCTTATACATACCATGCACATACCTGCACTTATACATATGAACATGCATAAACATATATATGTACTCATCATACACATAAAACACAGAAAAGCTAGCTAGAGAGATGAGGAAGAAAATGGCATAATTAATATTATATCACTAAAGATCTATTATCTTAGACTTTAAATATAATGATTGAAAGAATACTCACTGAGGTTATGTAGTATAGGAGGGCAATATAAAAATCATTCTCTTACTGGGCGGTCGTGGCACACGCCTTTGATCCCATCACTTGGGAGGCAGAGACAGGCGGATTTCTGAGTTCGAGAGTTCGAGGCTAGCCTGGTCTACAGAGTGAGTTCCAGGACAGCCAGGGCTACACAGAGAAACCCTGTCTCAAAAAAACAAAAACAAACAAACAAACAAAAAATCATTCTCTTACTGTCAAGCCAAGTCAGTTTATGGAGAATGAAAAAAAATGTGTCTTGAAATTAAATAGCTGTGACAATTTTGAGAACTCCTGAGATTGTTATTCCAAATTTAATCTAAAATTTGTAGAATTAAATGTTGATAGGAGCCGGGCGGTGGTGGCAAACGCCTTTAATCCCAGCACTTGGGAGGCAGAGGCAGGCGGATTTCTGAGTTTGAGGCCAGCCTGGTCTACAGAGTGAGTTCCAGGACAGCCTGGGCTATAAGAGAAACCCTGTCTCAAAAAACCACATATATATATATATACACACACGCACACACACACACACACAGACACACACACACAAATTCTTTAAATACATCTTTTTAGAAAAATGATTAAAATTAAAATATTGACTAAATATTGTTTGAAAAAAACAAGGCAAAAGTTCCATGCATTCAGGTTGGAAATGTAAAATAACTACGGCTTTTATCTTTAAATGCCTAGTTATTAACTAATGCCTAGTAACTAGACAAAAACAAGGAAGGTTTATTTTGGCCCACTGTAGACATGGGGGTGGGACAATGCAGTGGCAAGTGGCAGGAAGCAGAGGTGATTTATATGGGTACACAGCTTGCTTTCTCCTTCTCTCTCATTGTACACTTGGCTTCCAACCCATGATATGGTGCTACTCATATTTTCTGGATCTTCCCTTGTCTGTTTAACCTCTCTGGATGTTCTCGAAGTCAGACCCATAGGTTTGTTTTACGTGGTTCCAGATCCATTCAAGTTGAAAGTGAAGGTTAACCACCACACTGACATAGCAATTAATAATAAAGTCCTTAAATGTTTTAGTAAAATAAGTGTACCATAGTTCACATTTTAAGGTGCTTAATAGTATAAAATCTTGCTTTTAAAATGACTTATACTTCCTATGTTTTTAGATTCATTCCTTCGAATGTTTCCCTTCCCCCGCTCCCATGGTAACTTCTGTAGTTCCAACTTCTTACTTCAAGTAGGGTGTTAAAATAGTAATATCTTAATACTAATTTAACTGTAAGACGTGTTTTATCTGGAATGCAATGCAGAGATATCTCTTTTTTTAAATATACTTAGTAGCCGTTATATATTTTAGGTAAAGGTCCTTAATGTTCTATGAAGTCTCTAAATTGTTAACAGAATATGAAAAAAAATTTTTTCAGAGCTACCCATTTTAAAAATCCAACCATATTGGCAATCCAAAACATAGTACAGGGGGAAGACATGAGTCCACACAAATTACCTCTTCAAAGTATTCAAATCTTGTCAGATTACCTCTTCAAGTACAATCTTTTATAATCACGATACAAATAGCTCATTTACTGTTTACCAAGGATTGATTATTTGTTTGTTTGTTCAGAAACAGTATCTTCAATACAGCCTAGTCAGAGATAACCTACCTGCTTCTGTCTCCCTAGTATTGGGATTAAAGGAATATGCCACCATGTCTGCGACTATGCTTATTCTTTTTTTTAAGATAACAAAAATGGATTTATTTTACCTTTACATAATTTCACATCAAAATATTTTGCTCAGATGAAATAATTTTTAAAATTCACTTTTGTATTTTTTTTAAATGTAAGACTGTTTTGTATGCATGTATACCTGGATGCTAGAAAAGAACATCAGATCCCTTTATAGATGGTTGTGAGGCACCATGTGGTTGCTGGGAATTGAACTCAGGACCTCTGGAAGAGCAGACAGTGCTCTAAAACGCTGAGCCATCCTCCAGCTCCCTAATTTCTTTTCATACTTGAAAAAGCTTTGTCCTTTTAGAGTACACAGCAATCATCACATACTTGTGTCTCCACCACGTTGTGTCCTGGAGTACCTGAGCATTAAAGTAATGCAAGGTCTATATTTAACAAATCAAGCTTGCAGTGTATCCTGAATGCTTTTTGGTGAGAAAATAGAGAACTGAGGATTGAAGCCAGGGCCTCATGCATGTGAAGCATATACCCTACTCCTGAAGTACATTCCAGTCCTCTCAAGGTCATTTAGAGGCTCTTTTATCTAGAGATTAAAAATTATTTTATCTTGAGCTGGTGAGATGGCTCATCAGTTAATAACACTGGCTGCTCTTCCTGAATTCCCAGCAACCATATGATGGCTCACAACCATCTATAATGAGATCTGGTGCCTTCTTTTGGCCTGCAGATATACATGCAGGCAGAATGCTATATACATAATAAATAAATATTTTTTTAAAAAAAGGAAAAGAAATTAGCCTGTCTATAGTAGTAAACCTAAGATCTATTCTCCTTTATAGGCTATGATGTTGTCAGTTTCATACACTTTTACTTTATAAAGAGCTCCAACTGGAAGAAGTTTCTGGAGTTTTTCCCGGATATAGACAGCTACATTTTCTGTCGTATTTACAACATCTGCACAGTATGGCACTTCCAGATCCAGGTTCTTGTGATCTAGGGGCTTCATGATGGCCTCCTCTATGTTTTCTTTTTGAGGTCGGTTAAATTCATAACCATTCCTGTAACAGGAACAATCACTCCATCTACTGTCACCAAAACTTTATAGTTGTGCCCATGGCCATTCTGATTGTTGCCATTTCCAAACACTTTTTTTTGGTTTTGTTTTTTGTTTTTTGTTTTTCGAGACAGGGTTTCTCTGTGTAGCCCTGGCTGTCCTGGAACTCACTCTGTAGACCAGGCTAGCCTCGAACTCAGAAATCCACCTGCCTCTGCCTCCCAAGTGCTGGGATTAAAGACGTGTACCACTACTGCCCGGGCCCAAACACTTTGAAGTTCTCTTCATTGCTCAGAGATAGGCTCTGCAGCTGATGAAGAACATGAGGCAGGACAGTTGCATGTGGCAACAAAAGCCACCTGCCGGGCTCATGGGCTTATGCAAGAATTACACTGTTACTATTCTGGATACAGTAAGTCATTCTTGTGTGGGTTTTCTTTATGATACTAAAAGATAAATGATTCTTGGATGGGATTTATCATGTCTGTTAGGTTATTTGGGAGAAATAGTTGCCACTTTAAAGAATCTATTCTTTTTTTGTTATTGTTTTAGACTGATTTATATTTTATTATGTGCATGAACGTCTACATATATGTGTGTACCTGGTGCTCAAAGATCCCAGAAGATGGTGCTAGAATTTCTGGATTAGAATTACAGACACCATGTGGGTGCTGGGAATTAAACCCAGGTACTTTAAACTAAGAGAAACAAGTACTGTTAATGGCTGAGCTATCTCTGTTGCCTCTAAAGAATCTCTTTTCATAAGATTTTTTTGTTTTGTTTCATATGGAGTTTCATTGAAGATTTTAAGTATCAAATTTTAAACTAAAACATTTTTAAACTAAAACATTTATGATCACAATCCTAAAACTGTTATTTAAGCTTAATAGGAATTGTAGACTTTTAGGGGGAGGCCCCATTAGTTTAAAACAATATGTGATAAAATGATTTTCTTTTTTTATGGTTTGGAAGCTAAGGAGTAGAAGAGAAATGCAGCATCTTTGTATGACTTGATGTAAGTGATTTAGTTGAGTGGTATGTAGAGTCTGTAGTCAAGAAAAGATGGTTGGGCTTCTCCTGGAGATTTGGTTTCAAAGGATAATTTTAAGATGTGGCACATGCATTTAATCCTAGTACTTGAGAGGTAGAGGCAATGTTTGTCTTAAAGTTCATTACTGTTTTAAATAAAAGTTATGATACTATAATCTCACATTTTTACTGCTACTAGGTTCTTTAGATGAGAAGCTTCAGATTTATGAAGAGATCAGTAAGCAGCACCCCAGAGCAGTTTCACCAAGAAGATTACCACTGAATTTTGTCCCAGGTAATACCAGGATATCTTTGTAATGTTAATTTGAAATTAATGGATACCATTAGTGTTTTAAGCTTTTCTTTCTCTTCTAGAGTTTATGTCTGTCTGTCTGTCTGTCTTTCAGTCTGTAAAAGTAACTTTTATTCTCCTGATTAATTGTTGTCTCTGAGGCTTACTGCCCTCATCTGCTAATGTAGTCCTAGTCCTGGAAGTTTCTAGCCTTCATAGAATCTTATCTAGGCCTTGAATGTCTCAGCCTCTGAGACTTACTGCTGAATAACTTCACTCTTTCAAGTTCTTAGGTAGGCTGTTTTGTAAAGCAGATATGTAATAGTAAATAGTCTGATTTTCTTCTTAAAGTGATAATTATAAGACAACTAGGAAGAAGAGAGATAATTGTAAAATGAATAAGTAGTCTTCTATTCTGCCTTTGTCACTGACTACCAAGTTAACTTGTTACTATGCTACACTTGTTTGAGCCATACCATAATGCTTTTGATACTACTTGGTGTAATTTCTGTTTACATGCAGAAATTGGGTGTAGTGGACTCAGCCCAAGAGCTTACACAAAGTAGAATCATGCATATTTTAAGCAACTGCCTCTTACTGTTTACCATAATATTGTTAATTCCTCTGTATGACTGAGGAAGTGCTGGGAAGATAGAACTACTTTTGATTTTAAGGGAAGTGCAGATCTAACTATAAATGTTAATGTTAGTTTGTGGCTTTTAAAAGATGAATGCATAGGGCTTAATAAGAGATTAGAAATCTGAAAATAGTATAATAAAGTTTTCTTTGATTTTCTTCATTACTTAATGATATTGCTTATGTGCACTTTACTTAGTATAGTTAGCTCAACCAAATAAGCAGTCTAGTCTATTGGTTTGGGATTGCTGGGATTCATTGTGCACTTTTGTTATTCATAAAGAAACCTAGGAAAACATTTAAATGATAACGGCATATGATGCCTTGTAAAAAATTTTAACTCATTTGTGTGTGTATGTGTTAGATGGGTGTGGGGTGTGGTTGTCTGTGTATATATGCTAAAGTGCACGTTTGGAGGTCAACTTGTTGGAGTTGGTTCTCTCCTTCCACTCTATGGATTCCAAAGGTTGAACTTGGGTTATTAGGCTTGGCACATGCACCTTTACCCACTGAGCAATCTTGCTGACCCATGTTTCTGTTTTTAATGAATAAATAAGTTCAAGTCTGACTGTCATTATGTCTATATGCCTTCATTTAGAAGTAGATTTCTTTCAATATTCTCTCCCTCCTCTCAGTCCATTTCCTCCCTTTCATCATCATCTTCATTTTCCTTTTCCTTTTCCTTGTCTTTCTCTTCTTGATGGGTCTCGAATATCCCAATCTGGTCTCCAACTAGCTAAGGATGGTTGTGAATATCTGATTCTTTGTCCTCCACGTCCCTGGTGCTGGGATTAGAGCCATTCACCACCACAACCTGTTTATTGTGGTGCTAGGGATAGAGTTTAACGCCTTTGTGCATACAAGGATGTTCTTACCAACTGAGGAACATTTCTATCCCCTTTTATGTTTCTGATTACAAAAATAGTGACAGAGTCTGCTTCTATCACAGCAGGAGGATGTTAGGAGGATATTGAGGTTGGTGGGAGCCAACCTTAGATACAGAAAGCTTCTGTCTCATAAAACAACCAAAGATACAAAGAAATTTTTGTTACAGGTAACAATAATAGGAAATGCACTTGTTTGATGTTGCAAGTAGGTTGTTTATTACTTCATAGCTGAGTGCCTTAGTTCTGTCTAACATATAACATTCTTTTAGTATCATTCTTATTCTCTAGAGGATGTTCTCTGTTGGTAAATATTTTTAAATTTATGTTATAAACACTTCCATATCACCAGTACCTGAAATTATGCTAGGGGTGTAGTAGGATGATTGTTGAAATTAGTGATACCACTTTAGTGTTTAATCAGATAATTTGACTATTTCTTGAATGTAGTACCTGTCATAGAATATGTGGCAAATACCGTATCAGTTGTCTTCAAGAGTGTGGACCGAGTTTATGTTAGGGAGAGATTAGGAAGACTGCTTGCTCTTGTGATTACAGTCAAGTAGTCAGTACATGATACTTAAGACTGCATAATCATTTCCTCTGCCTGTTTCTGAAGCATTCCTTGAAGATACTTTGGAAATTAGGGAAAATGTTAACTGAAACATTGCTCTTATGCTTTCTTATGTGACAAGATAGGCTGACTTTGGGGGTTTAAATCTGGTTGCAGAATAATTGTTCTGAAGGAGCTTTATCTGTTCAGTTTAGTCGATTAAGAATTGACTCAATCAACCACACTTTGCTTTTATCTCTAGGTAAAAAATTTCGAGAACTCATGGATAAGTTCCTGAGACCAAACTTTAGCAAAGGATGTCCACCTCTGTTCACTACTTTAAAATCTTTGTATTGTAATGCAGAAAAGGTAAGTTTGTTTTTTATTCAGTTTTACTATTACAGGAAGATTTCTATAAACTATGTTATGATTTAATTATTTTCTCTATTGTACCAAGTTTCCCTTTTTATCTTCTATACCAAATAATTGTACTTGATACATCAATTCTATATACCAAAAGTATAATAGTATAAGTGATAACAAAGGAATTACTGTGCTGTAAAGTTTAGAGGAAAGAGAAGTATTTTCAAAATACTGAGATATGCTGAGCAGTGGTGGCACACATTTAACCTCAGCATTAGGGAGGCAGAGGTAGGCAGATCTCTGAGTTCAGGGCCATCCTGGTCTAAAGAGCTAGCTCTGGGTCAGGCAGTACTACTGCAATAAGAAATCCTGTCCCCAAAAAAAAGAAAAAAAGAAAAATGATACACAGCTTGATGTGATGGAAACCACTTGTAATCCTAGCCCTTGATAGACTGAGGCAGGAGACTTGTCAAGAATATGAAGCCAGCTTGAGTTTCACAGTAAATTCCAGGTCTGTCTGGGCTAGTGAGACCTGCTCTCTAACAAACAAACAAACAAACAAATAAATAAAATCTATTATTAGAACTTTATATTTATATTTAGATATTCATAAGTCATTATATATTTCACAGTGTAACTTTTTTTTCAGTTTGTAATCATATTAAAGTTAGCATGGGTAATTGAATTTACAGTAAAATACCATTAGGTCAGTGGAGTTGGAGTAACTAGTTTTAATTAGTAGGTTAAATCCTAATAGGTAGGTATAATAGTTTTAGGAGTTGGGGAAATAGCTCAGTCATCAGTATAGAACTTGCTCTACAAGCATCCATGTAAAAAGTGAGCATGTACTTAAAAATCCAGTACTGGGGAGATGGAGATTCCTGGAGCTTGTTGGCCGAGTGGTCTTGCATAAGTAACTAGTCCCAGGTTTCAAACAGCAGGGCACATGCACAGACATCACACACACACATTCTCATTCTCTATCTCTCTCTGTCTCTGTCTCTCTCTCCCCCCTCCCCCCCATGTGCATCTGAATACAAGACTTAAGTCACTTAAGTCTTGGTTGTAAATTTGGAAGATAAATGGATAATTAGAACCTGATAGGAAAACAAGGTGTTGTAGCACACACTTGCAGTTCCTGTTACTTGGGAGACAAAGCAGGAGGATCACTTCAGCTTAGGATCTGAGACTTAACTTATGCAACATAGCCCCCTCCCCACTAAAAAAAAGGGGAAGAGGGCTAATAGGAAGAAAGTTATATTTTATTCCTAAGCAGTGTTTCTTACTTATTAAGGTCACAAATCTTGTGCCTGGTCTTTTTTATAGTCAAGTATTTTAAAAGGCACTGTTGGACATTAAGATTTTCATCAAACCTCTATCAGGTTATTTAGGTTTGACCCAAATTTTTAAAAGTAATACTTGTGGGTAATAAAATGTTGGAAATAAGATCAGTGACTAAAACAGCTGATTGGCTCGTGAGGCCTTGAGGGTCCTACTCAAACCATTTTCAAACCACAGTGGTTGGTGAGTTATGATAGTCATCTCAAGTTTCATTGTAGGCAGGTTCAGGTTTAGTGGACTCATAGCTTGTTGGGAATTCTGACTCTGTCAGTCATCTGCTTGAGCTTAAGTCATGAAGACCATAGGTCAAAGGCCACACTTTTACAAAGTTTAGTCTCTGCAACAGGCACAAATATTTTCCCAGGCTGCATTTTAATGAATCTTAAATAGAGTTTCTTTTAATTTAATAATTGAAATTTAATAGAGCTAGATTCTTTAGTCCTAATCAAATATAACTGCTTGGAGAAAATACTTGGAATTAAGAAGGTTTAAAGTTTTCGAGAAGTTTGGAACATTTTGTTGGTTTCCGTCACTGTGAGAAAATATCAGTGATAAATAGCTTCAGAGAAGGGAAGGCGTGTTTGGGTTCATAGTTTTGAGGTTTGGTCTGTGGTTTCCTGGCTCTGGTAAAGCTGAGCATCTTGCTAAGGGGAATGTGAAAGGAGCTATTACATAATGGCGGGCCAGCAGGAATTGAAAAGGGAAAGGGAAAGGCTGGAATAGCAATATACTATGAAAGACATGCCTTGCCAGTGACCTTTCCTCCCACATAGGCCCCTCCTACAATTGTGTTGTCATCACATAGTAGTGACATCAATTAGGAATTGAACTAGAGGACCTGAGTTTGAATTCCAGCACCTAATTAAAAAGCTAGGTATGACTGTGCTTTCCTGTAATTCTTAATGTCCCATAGTCTAGCTCAATAGGTGAGCTAGTTTACTGGGAAAGACCCTGTCTACTGGGAGCAGGCTGACCCACTCCCTGGTCTAGCATAGCCAGTGGGAATCTGGGGAGAAAGCAAGCTAAATTACAAGCAGAGTCTGGCCAGATGGTGACCAGCTATGGGCTGCTCTGCTTCCAGAGGCCAGCAATGCTCACTGGGCTCCTGACTACGCTGGTAGGCCTTGACAGAGCTGCAGGGCTGTGTCTCTGGCCCGCAGAGCGCCTGCATGCACGCACACTCTCGCGCGCGCGCGCTCTCTCTCTCTCTCTCTCTCTCTCTCTCTCTCTCTGTGTGTGTGTGTGTGTGTGTGTGTGTGTGTGTCTCACACACCACCCCTCTCCTAAATCTACCTGGTTGGTTCTAGACTCTAAACTTTGTATTTTTTTCATGACATTGATAAAGCAGTAAGAAAACATTAAAGTTTCCTCCTAGTGCTCCTAGGGAAAAAAAAAGACCCTATCTAAAGGTAATAAGGCAAAATGACTGAGGAAGATACCAGATGTCTTGTTTTGGCTCTTGTTCATGTACGCCTTCATACTCAGGTGCATATACCACACAAGCACACACCTCACACACAAAGTGAGCTTTCAGTATATAACAAATGAATGGGCTTATTTTTACATATTACCTACTTGATAATGAAGTGGGTGCCTATGAGAAAAACTTAAATTATTTTTGTGTGTATAAAGTGTGAGTACAGGTGTGCACATGCCAGGACACCCTTGTGAAAGTGAAAGGACAACTTTTGGAAGTTGATTGTCTTTTTATCATGAGTTCAAGGGGTTGAACTTGGGACATCGGACATCAAGCTTGTGAGGCAAGTCCAGACCTACCGAGCTGTCTTAACAGTCCCAAATTGTCATTTTTGATAAAAAAAATTTTTGATGCAGTCTCAACTGTGTAGTTCTGGCTGTCCTGGAACTCACTGTGTAGACCAGATTGACCTTGAACTCACTGACATCCTTCCACCTCTGCCTCCTGAGAGCTGAAATTAAAGGCCTATTCACTACATCCAATTAGTTAGTTGTACTCCTGTTATTTAAAATTTATTCACATAGTATGCTGTACTCCAGAACTGTATGGTAAATCCTATTTAAAATCTGTGTTTAGAAGCTGGCACAATGGTTCAGCAGGTTAATGGTTATTGCCAACAAGCCTTATCACTCAAGTTTGATTCCTGGAATACAGATGATGGAATAAGAGGAGACTCTTGGATGCGTTCCCAGATAACCTCCACATGTGCTATGATGTTCTCGGCTGGGGAAGGGAATACCAGTATTCATACACGCACAAGTAAAAGATAAACATATAAAAAATATATGCTAGCTACAGTGTTTAACCAGTCAGTAGATGGCAGTGTTAGTTAATCAAAAATAAAAATAATTGCCTCATACTTAAAACAATTTGAACACTAAATTTATAAGCCTGAAAGATGTTTTAAGTTGCAAGTATTCTAAGAAAGATTGGTGGGATGTCTGCTACCTTTAATTTTGTTTTATCAGTGGTTCTCAAACTCTTGTGTATGTTTTAACTAGAAGCCTTGTTAAACAGAGAGAACCAAACTTTCTGATTCTGTACGGATTGTCTGAGAATGTACATCTTGGAGGCTAGAGAGATGACTCAGTGGTTAAGAGCAGTGGCTGTTCTTGCAGAAGACCTGGGTTTGGTTCCTTTCTGGTACCTATGTAGTAGCATACTGCAGTTTCAAGGGAACCAATATCTACTTCTGGTCCCTGTGGTAAACGTGTGTGTGTGTATATCTATATCTATATCTATATCTATATCTATATCTATATCTATATCTATCTATCTATCTATCTATCTATCTATCTTCAAAACACCCCCCTCTTTTTGTTGTTGTTGTTTTTTGTTTTGTTGGTTTTTGGGACAGGGTTTCTTTATGTAGCCCTGGAATTACCTCTATAGGTCAGGTTGGACTCATTTCTGAGATCGTCTGTCTCTGCTTCCTGGGTGCTAGAATTAAAGTGTAGGCCACAATGCCTGGCTCAGACAAAATACTTTTACATAAAATAAATATTTTTTAAAATATACATCTTGGGTTGGAGAGATGGCTCAGCAGTTAAGAGCAGTGTCTGCTCTTCCAGGTCCTGAGTTCAATTCCCAGCAGCCACGTGGTGGCTTATGACCATCCATAATGAGTTCTGATGCCTTCTTCTGGCATGCAGGTTTACATGCAGATATACATTCATATACATTAAATAAACAAATAACTATCCCTGGATTCCACCTTCAGAACTGTTCCTTTGAAAACAAAATAATTCCATTAATTTCTAGATCATGAGTTTGTTTATTTGCTTGCTCATCCATCCATCCATCCATCCATCCATCCATCCATCCATCCATCCATCCATCCAAGATAGAATCTCACTAAGTAGCTCTGAAAGACACAGAAATCTACCTGCTTCTACTTCTTCAGTGCTGAGACTAAGGACGTGTACCACTACATCCAGCCAGTCTCTAGAGTTTATTTGATCTTCAACATTTTTCTGAAAAATAAATGATGATAAAGGTGAGAGCTAGCATTTATTTATTTTACTGATAGAAAATGCAGATAATTATGGAGTGCGGTGTGCCAGTTCTGTACATGTCTACAATATCTAGTGACTGGATAGGGTAATCAACATCTCTGGCTCCTTAAATAAGTCACTTGTGTTAGGAATGTTTGGGACTCCTGTCTTGTAGTTTTAGAAAAAAATAGAATAAATTGTTAGGAACTATAGATCAGGGATTCCTGAACTTTTTCACTTGTGACTCCTCTTTTTGCCTGAGAAGTTTTTATTGACCCTTGAGTTTATATGTATTTAAAGTAAGTATATAGATCAAATATTTACTGATAATAATCCATGATGACATTTATTTTAAAACACCACTTTGTCCATTTATTGTTGTATTGTTTATTAAAAATGAGAGCAAATTTGCATGCTAATGGTGGGTGTGCTTATCTGTGTTTTCTAAAGGATTAAATCTTTTTTGTGTGTTTTTTTTGGTTTTGTTTTTTATTTTATTTTTTGTTTTTTGAGACAAGGTTTCTCTGTGTAGCTCTGGCTGTCCTGGAACTCACTCTGTAGACCAGGCTGGCCTCAAACTCGGAAATCCACCTGCCTCTGCCTCCCAAGTGCTGGGGTTAAAGGCGTGCGCCACTACTGCCTGGCAAGCCAAGGTGTTTTAAGTAGTGTTTGTTGCCATTGTGTAGTGTGATGAAGTTAGCAGTGCAAAGTGTTCTTGTTACATCGTACCAGAAATACCTAGTATTCACTGTGTGTCTGTTATTATTATTATTATATTATTATTTTGATCGTTGCACATACAACAACCTTTAAATATTCCAAACACTTTGAGTCTTCCACATTTGTGACCCCGAAGGCTACAATACAGTTTAGTAAGTGTTAGAGAAGTAAACTATACTCTTCTTGTCTGTTTCAGTAACTGCTACATCTTCCTGTCTGTATTCAGTGCCTGTTCTATCAACTTTCTATCCTCCCTTACTCCTCTGGACCTCTAGTGAAAATAATTCTACTCCCATGAAGTCAACTTTTTTGCTTTCACATCAGAGACCTACCTCTTGTCTTTCAAGACATGAACTTACTGTGTAGCATATGTAGGTCTCAGGCTTACCACCCTCCTGAGGGCCTAGATTAGGTTTGCATGCACACACACTCCCCAGCCTCAAAGGCTCTTTCAAATAGTGGTTCAGTGGGGCCACTTTCTTGTAATCCCAGCAGTTGGAAGGATGAGAAGGAAAAGTTGCTTTGACTTTGAGGCCAGGACTATGTAGTGAGTTCCGGGGCCGCTAGTCCTGTATATCTAGACTCTATTAAAATAAACAAACCAAAACAAAGTTATTTAAAATACTGTTTTAAACTAAACATTCTTTGTCTTTAAAGAATCATTTTAGCCAGTTTCTACTAATATCACATTTTCATTAGGTATGCTTGACTGTGTTTCCTTGTTTGTTTTTTATTTCATTTTATTTTATTATTTTATGTGCTGGGTGTTTTGCTTGCATGCTTGTTTGTGTACTCTGTGTACATAGTGCTCTCAGAGGCCTGAAAAAGGGAACCAGATCCTCTGGAACTAGAGTTACAGACAGTTGCATAGTAAGCCTAAGAAGTGTTTTATTTTGGCTTCCCTCTCACCCCTTTTAGTTTGGGCAGTGGAATTTTTAACCAGTGATATGATTCATGGCTTCATGAATGCTATTCTTTGACTTTTCATGGTACATATTAATTTAGATTCAAAATGAAGACAATTAAATTATTCTGTCTTTTTCTCTTAGGTGGAATATGTGTAGAAGGTTCCCTTCACAGCCATATCTACCAAAACCTGCTCAGGGTTTTATGATGCATGATCTAGTCTTCACTTGCAGGAAACGTGTAAATAGTACATTTTTTGTTAATAAAAGAGACTTGGGGAAAGAAAATAAATTTAATTGTTCCAATTTTCATAAAATACTTTTAGCAGTATTTAGATAAGGAAATTAGAAGAAAAGACTTCTAATTGTATTAAGCACAGATTCTACTTTCTGTTCTTTGCCAGAGTTAATAATAGTAAACAAAATAATATAGTCATTTAAAAATGTTTTGTTTGTATATGAAGTTTGTACATGTTCCTGTGAGTTTGTGCACCCATGCATGCAGGTGCATGAGCGAGTCTGTACATGTGTTTTCCTCAGTTACTCTCCGTTTTATTCTTTGAGACAGGGACTCTAGCTGAACCTGGAGCTCAGTGGTTTGGCTAGGCTGCTAGCCAATGAGTTCCAGGGATCCTCCTGTCTCTACCTCATCAGCTTGGTGGTTGTGCTGCTATTGCCAGCTTTTATGTGAATGCTGGGGTTTGAACTCCGCTCTTCATGCTTATGTGACAAGCATTTCACTGACTAAGCTATCATTTTTAATGTGTAAACTTTTTTAACATATTTTTAAAATTATTTTTTAAGATTTATTTATTTATTTTATGTATGTGAATATATTGTCACTCTCTTCAGACACACAGAAGAGGGCATTGGATCTCCATTACAGATGGTTGTGAACCACCATGTGGTTGCTGGGAGTTGAACTAGGACTTTTGGAAGAGCAATCAGTGCTCTTAACCACTGAGCTATCTCTCCAGCCCATACATAAATTTTAAACTTTGGGTCATTTCACTTTTTTGTAAGTAGTGACATTTTATAAAATCTAAACATTTTTATATTAGTTTCTAAGTTTATAGACCAAAACAGGGAAACAAAGACAATTTAGTTATTCATGTAAGTGTAGTAATTTGTCCTTCAATAATGTCATGATTCTGGAATTGGGGGCCTAGTTCATTAGTAGATGCTTTGAAGACCCTGGGTTCACTTTGAAGGCCCAAGGTAGATTTGATCCTCAGGTCTGGTGTTAGGGCAAGGGGAGTGACACCAAAACCAAACCAACCAACCAAAACCTCAGGCTTTTTCTTGAGATGAGAACTTATGGAGGTGGTTTTTGCTTTTTTTCTCTCTAAAACCATTAATAAAGACAACAAAGCTTCCACCCCCCCCTCTTTTTTACTCAGTCTTCTAAATGTTAAGTTTGGGAGATTGGAGAAAATAGTATTTTGATACCTATAGTTTAGTTAACTTGTGGTTTTGAAATGTATTGTTTTAGGCTATAGAGATGGTTTAGTGATTAGCAGCACTTGCTGTTTGTTCTAAGGGTCTTTGGTTCCCAGCATACATGTCACACAGTTCAAAGGAAGCACAGATTCTACTTTCTGTTCTTTACTGGGATCAACAATAGTAAACAAAATACAGTCATTTAAAAATATGTTTTGTTTGTATATGTGATGTTTGTACATGTCCCTGTGAGTTTGTCTTGACTCTAGTTTCAAGCATCAGGCGCCTCCTCTCAATCTTTCCAAGTATCTACACACAGATTTCATACATACAAATTGACACGTAGCAATAAAAGTAAAAAGTAAATTGTTGTTTCAATCAAATTAGTCCAGAAATAAAAATGCCTTCAGTGAAGCGTTTTTAAATTTTAAAAAATATGTTTCTTTAACAGGTTTCAATAATCCAGGAACTTGTTACTAATTATGAAGCTTCTCTTAAAATGAATGGCTTTTTTAGCCCTTATGGTAAGTTTAACCTAGACTAAATTAGAATTTTATTGCTCATTTCAATCTAATTTTAATCACAGAAAAACTATTTTACATTTACTATGTGTGTGCTACATACATGACTATTTATTAGTTTTGAATTAGTGAATGAAAGAATTTTTAGTGTTGATTTAAAATTTCCATAATTTTTTTGCCTGGGAGTTAGTCTTAGTTAACAAGGAAAACAGACTTAAGAGGTTAACTAGCTTGTCCAAAATTGAGTATTTAATTAGAATTAGAACCTTTTTTCCTTTAATCCTTAAACTATCTACTTTTCTATTCTTTTATTAATTTTAATCATGTCTGATTTGCCCCTTTGATTCTCTGTAGAGACATATGTAAATAAAGACAACTTAATTTAGAAAACCCTATAGAATCATTAAGGTATGGGACAATTTCTTTAGGTTCTTTATGTGTCTTTTTCACATTGCACTTGGAGTTTGGAGTTTTTTGTTTCTTGATTTCTGAATTAAAAAAAAAAAAAAAAAAAAAGAATGTTTTCCCTTCATGCGTGGTGCTCCATGGAGGCCAGAAGAGAGCATTGGATCCCTTGAGACTGGAGTTTCAGACAGCTGTGAGCTGCCATGTGGGTGCTGGTACTTGAACCTGGGTTCTTTGGAAGAGCAGCAAGTACTCTAAATTCCTGCCTCCAAACCATCACCTTCAAGTATTTTAAGACAAAGTTCTAACATGATTTTACCTGTAAAGACCTTAGTATGCATCTTTGTTTAAAAAACACACATATGTAATACCTGTCCACATTTATATTTTTCTCCCACAATCCAAAATTGATATTTGTTTTATTAATCTAGATCTAGTTAAGGCCCGTGGTTTACATTTGATGGGTTTTGTGTACTTTTAATATATTCTATGATCTCTCCTTCCTTTTAAGCTAAAATGCCTTTTTTCGAAAGCTCATTTGTTTTGTAGACTTTCTCATTGTTTTCTCATTATCTCAAGGATTGGCTGATTTCTTTCTCTTGGTATCACTGTCTTTTACTGTTGTTTCTTTGTCGTAATTAATAGATAGTAGGTGAATAGATTTGAGTTCTGTTTGAATACTTCACAGGTGGTGCCTTGTGTTGGAGAGTGTATCATATCAGAAGGCTGGCGGCGTTCTCAGTATCTCTGATACTGGGTTTCTTATCAGGCAGATGTGCCTGTTGTCAAGTTCCTCTGACCTAAGGATTTAGGCAGTCGGAGGATCCCTTATTTCATTCTTCCTCCCCATTTATTAGCTGGACAGAGCTGCTATCGGTTGAACCGAGGGCCTTATTTATGCTAGACAAGTGATATGCCACTGACTCAAAACCCCAGTTCTGAATTTATTTTGTTTTATTTTATTTTTTTGGCTTTTCAAGACAGGGTTTCTCTGTATAGCCCTGGCTGTCCTTTAACTCACTCTGTAGACTAGGCTGGCCTCAAACTCAGAAATCCGCCTGCCTCTGCCTCCAAGTGCTGGAATTAAAAGCATGCTCCACCACTGCCTGACGCCTGAATTTATTTTAAGAAACCTTCCTTTATATACTTTGGTCTCCTGAGTTAGATAGCATATATGAAAGATAAGTATTTGATTTTTTGTTCTTATTGCATTTTCCTACTTAATTTTCTATTGCCATGACAAAACACCATGACCAAGGCAAGTTCTAAAACAATACAAAAACAACAAACATTTAATATGGGTTTATGGGGAATGTCATGGGCTTTGAAACCTTAAAGCCAGGTCCTCTAACAAGGCCATACCTCCTCTCAAATAGTTTTAGCAACTGAAGATCAAACATTCAAATATATGAGTGTATTGGGGCCTATTCTCATTCAAACCACTACAGCTTTCTAATTTATGCTTTAATGTGTTTACATTATTGTCTTGTTATTTGATTAGTTGACTACATATACTAGGAGATCTTCTGTTAACATAATACTGATAAATTCACTCTGCCTCACTGTAAACATATCTGCCATTCTGCAGGTCATTTTGATTGCTTCTTTAGTACAGGATAAGGAGCAGGATAGAGCTCAGTTAATGTATGTTATGTGGCTGCTTTTTTTAGTTGACTTTGGGCTGTGTACCCTAATCTTGTATTTGTGGCATATCAAGAATTTTTATTTTTTTAATCTCATCGGGTATATTCTGAGTCATATTCTTCTACACTTCACCATATTCTTCATCAGAGCCAGGATGCTCTGGCTGTGTTAAAGCTTATGCTATGTGTCTTAGAGTTTTACTGCTATGAACAGACACTATGACCAAGGCAACTCTTAAGAGGACATTTAATTCGAGCTGGCTTACAGTTTCAGAGGTTCAGTCCATTATCATCAAGATGGGAGCATGGCAGCATCCAGGCAGGTGTGCAAGAGAAGCTGAGAGTTCTACATCTTCATCTGAGGTCTGCTAGGAGAAGACTGTCTTCCAGGCAGCTAGGACAATGATATTAAAGCCTGTATCCACAGCAACACACACATTCTAACAAGGCCACACTTCCTAATAGTGCCATTCCCTGGGCCAAGCACAAACCATCACACTATGCTAATTGAGACAATTAGACACTAGTGTGGTACCCCTTGTAAACTTGGTACACATTCCTCTGCTTCTGTTGTCTATTTGCTAGGAGCATATATTTTAAACATGGGGGCAATGTGTAATGTTTTGCTGAACTCATGTTGTGATAGGTAGGTAGTTTCTTCTATGAGTTACTTTTTTTTTTTTTGATTATTTTTCTGGTCATGTTGTGATAGTTAGGTAGTTTCTTCTCTGAATTACTATTTTTTTAAATCATTTTTCTGGTTCACTGCATTTTGCTTTCAGCGAGAATTAGATAGTTTTTTTTTTTTTTCTCTAGCACTGTTTATTTGGAAGTAGGGGTTAGAAGTCTCTTAAACTATGATTTTATTTCTCTGCATGGCTGTTAACCTTTTGAACTTGATGTTACAGAGTCATACCTCCTTCTGTTGAGACTCATCATTTTTGCTAAGCTTTTGCTCTTAATAATAGCAATCGATTTCATTCTGAATTGGGGAGAGAAAACTTAGCATTCTTCCTATAACAATTTTAATATTTGTTTGATTGTAGATAATGGGGAAAAAGAACCCCCAACAACTCTAATTTGGGTCCAGTATTTCCTGGCACAGCATTTTGATAAACTTGGACAGTATTTTCTGGCTTTGGAATATATTAATGCTGTGATTGCTAGTACTCCAACTCTAATAGAATTATTCTACATGAAAGCAAAAATTTACAAGGTAAACTTTTAATCTTAATTTTTGAATAGTTGTAATTGGGTCATTTTAAAAAACGACTTGAAGTAGCAGTAACTCCTAGGATTCGCTGGCAGTTTTTTCTATATTCTAATAATCCTAAAGAATTCTTTATTGTGTAACCAATGTTGCCATTTGGTTCAGTTCTTAGTGAAATCATAACTAACTAGTTTTTAGGTAAACTAGTTTGACAAAATCATGTCAAACTTGGAACCCATTCTTATACATTGTTTTCTATTCCTGTACACTCCTTTTCTCTTGCTCATAAATGGTTTTTCCTAACACCTCCTCTTCTACAGCATATGGGGAATCTCAAAGAAGCTGTGCAGTGGATGGATGAAGCACAATCTTTGGACACAGCCGATAGATTCATCAATTCCAAATGTGCCAAATACATGCTTCGAGCAAACATGATAAAAGAAGCAGAGGAAATGTGCTCCAGGTTCACAAGGGTAGGGAATAACATACAAGTATGTAATTGTCTGAAGTAGGAAACTTGAAGTTCTGTGATACAAGTTTGTCGTTAAATTCCTAAGAATACCTATTTCAAAAAATCCCATTAATCTATGTTCTAACTATGGCTTCTTACTTTGATGTTTTTGTGTGTGCTCCTGGCTGCAGAATTCAGTTTGTGCTGAATATGGTGGTGTATACCTGTAATCCCAACATGCAGGAGGCAGAAGCAGGCCAATCTTTATGAATTCAAGGCCAGGCTGGTTTTCATAGTGAGACCCAGGGTTGCATAATGACACCCTGCCTTAAAATAAATAATCTTTAAAAACTTAGTTCGTATCTCAAATTTGTCTCCTTTACACTGTTTGATTTCTCTTTCATTTTCTATTAAGTCATATTCAGAATTGCTCAGATTTCTTTCTGTGTATTTTCTGTGACAGTTTTTTTTTTTTTTTTTTTTTATTGGATGATTTATTTACATTTCCTATGTTGTCCCCTTACCCCATCCCCCACCACCCCCTCGGAACCTCCAATCCCCTCG